CCCGCGCCGGCCCGACCAATGGCAGGCGCGCGCCCGGACCGGCGACCCAGCGCCCTCTGCTGCCGCCCGGCCCCACCCGCAGCCTCCCGGCCTCGCCCAAGCGGTGGTCGCCGCGCGCCCCCCGCACGCGCGCCTTCCCTCCCCTCCGCTCCCCGACACGCCTCCGACGCGCGGCGCGGCCCGGCCCGGGGCCCTCGGGGCTGTCCCGCCGAAGGGGAAACCGAGGCCCGGGGAGGCCGGTCCGCAGCCTCGAGCCGGCGCGGGGCCGGATGACTTCGGAGACCCGGATTCCGGCCGTCCCGGCTGCTGTCGCGGCTAGCCTGTGGCCCCGGGTGCGAGAACATGTGTTGATGCCACACAATTTCCCTTCTGGCTTCCTTTTTCACCCAAGGTTGGTTTAAGAGAGAGTTCCTCTACCGGTGATTTATGCTTCGTCTTTAACTCCTAGTTCCACTGCATCGAAGTCAATGTCATCTGTGCTACTGCCTCTTGGAGCTTTACTGAGATTTTGTCAGCGCACACTGCTGGTCTCTTGAAAGGAGGCGTTTCTCTGTCTTCAGAATCTGAAGATAGGAGACACTATCGATTTGATCTTCTTTATAGTCACTATGTCATTTAAGCCTATTATATTTTTGCGTTTTTTTCCCCCCAGTTGCTCAGTCATGAGCCAAGGGGATCATTCAAGTCCTCTACTATGAGTGTGTTTTTGTTCATTTCTCCCGGTTTAGCTTTATGAATTTTGTAATTCATAAATATTCGCGATGATTTGACTTTCCCTGTGGAGAGTGCCCCGATCATATAAAGCGGTGAGTACCTGTGGTATGCTAGGCCCTGCTCCTAGGCTCCCAGGATACAAGAGTATTAGGGACACACATCAGAGTTGCCCTGGAAGCCCACAGTCTAACAATAATCACATGGCCGCTTAATAAATACCTCCAGTTGGCCTAGTGCTTTATTTGCATTTGCTCATAAATCCTCCATTGACACTAAACAAGTCATTAAAAAGCATATACTACTTTGCCATTTCACATATATTACAGTTTTAGAAATTGAAATACAAAAAGCAAGTAAATAACTTGTCCACTGTCACACAAATAATGGGTGACCAGACCAATACTCAGATTCTTTTTTTCTTTTTTAGAGACAGAGTCTCATTCTGATGCCCAGGCTGGATTGCAGTGGCATGATCAGAGCTCACTGCAGCCTCGAACTCCTGGGCTCAAGCCTCAGCTTTCAAAGCTCTGGGATTACAGGCATGAGCCACCATGGGCAGACTCAGATTCTTTCTTACAAAGGAGCTAAAAGTCTTCAACCAGAGCCTGATACATGATAATTGGCAGCCCCTTCATTGAGGGCAAGGGCTCTGTCTCAATTGTGTGGGTACTCTGGGGATCTCAAACTATGTGGGACACAATAGGAGCTCCATTGACAAAGTTTAGGTTATTAATTGGAGAATATTTTTTCTCCAGTTAATTTCTCATCATACTTATTTTGTGGGGGTGCATATAGGAGAGACAAAATTCTACCTATGCTCCTTGGCACCAAGGAAAGCAAATCTCAGAGCTGAGACATGGGGGGTGGCTAGGGAATGCAGCCCAAAGTATGCCCCAGCGGGTCATAGACTCTGGACTCCCAGTCCTCTTGCCTTTAGGCAGGTGAATGACTAACGTCTGTGGGGCAGTCACTTATTCTCCTGTAAGACCTCAGGGCAGGAGCCTCCCAGCTGCTTTGATATCCTTCCTCCTCTCTATCACTCTGACCCAAGGTCAAGAAATGATAGACAGCGAGGCCTTGGGTCAACCGGTTCATCACCCAAGGAGGTCTGTCCTCCGAGTTTCTCTGCCCAAGACCCATTCAATCCTCTCTCGATTATCTCCAGTTACTTGCCTGAGGAACTCACTGCACAAGGTTCTTTTGTTGGGAAACTGTCTTTGATGGTCAGCCTCAGTAAATGCCACGGCCCAGAAATCAGAGGAAACTCAGCGACACTGCACAGCGCTGGGCAGTCCTCTGTCATCTCCAGTACAACACGCAGTTGCCAGACAAGGAGTCTTTCTTGTCCATCTACCCTGCCCCCAGCCCACAGGTATCTTAGGTAACAGATGGCTGCCGGGGCTGAGAATACAGAACTTAATGGCACTTTTATCAGTGCTTAAACTTTCCAGGAACATAATCACAAAATCATAGACGTGAGGAATGTGAGAGCTGGAAAGGGCCTTGGAAATTAACAAGTGTGTCCCCATCAACATTTTATACAGGAGGAACTTGGGACTCCGGGAGGTGGAGCTTCCTTGCCCAAGGTCACAAAGCTGGCCAGAGCCAAGCCTGGGACCTAGACCTGCCAGTCCAGACCTGGGTAAGGCTCCCTCTGTCATCCCAGATCCGTTCAAGTTTAGCTATAGCAGCTTGTTCCCAAAGAAAAGGTTAGAAAAGGCACTTCTTTTTTTTCTTTTCACTCACTCCATCTCACTCCATTGCCCAGGCTGGAGTGCAGTGGCACGCTCACGACCACCCCAGTGTCGACCTGCTGAGCTCCCATGATCCTTCTGCCTCAGCCTTCCAAGTAACCAGAACCACAGTCTCACACTACCATGCCGGCTAATTTTTTATTTATTGTAGAGACGAGGTCTCGCCATGTTTCCCTGGCTGGTCTCAAACCGCGGGCTCAGGCAATACTCTCACCTTGGCCCCCAAAGTGCTGGGAAGACAGACTTGAGCCACTGTGCCCGGCCAAAATGTGTACACATCTATTACTTTTCGAAGTTGAATGGAATTACAGTAGCAATGTGTAGTACGATGTTTGCTTAACCGCACTTCTGCCATTTTCTTTGTCCAGTCTGGTGCATGATGACATGAGTATTCATTTGATTGATGCCAGTTTTTGAGCGAATGTCATACTTAAAATATGTATACATTTTTGGGGCACTCTCGGGCTCCTAAGCACTGGCATACATGCAAGTTCAGTAAATGCTAGGGCATAGGAGCGCAGGCTGGGAATTAGGCTGCCTAGGCTTATGTGTCAGCTTCTCTGATTGCTGCTGAGTGATCGTGGACAAGTATCTCCGTTCCTCTGTGCTTCAGTTTCTCATCTATAAAATGATGACGATGATCTGTAAAATAATGGTATAAAATGATAATCGTCCCTATGTGGTTAGTATTAAATAACTCCTATAAAGTGCCTTTCTGGGTATCTGGCACAGAGTAGGCACTTAACACATGTTAGACATTATTATTTTCATTATTATTTGCTTACATGAGCTTTACTTCTATTATCAAAAACCTTATGAGGTTGATTTTATCCCATTTTTCACAGACAAAGTAACTTAAGTGAAATGAGTTTGTAAAACTCACCCAAAGTTCAGAAGTTAAGACAAAAAGCAAGACTCAAGCCCAAGTCAAATCTCTCTACTCTCTACACTGTTGTCTCCCATCCAAGTGGTGGGTGGTGAGAGGCGCTCCAAGCACTCTCTGTGTTTCTCTTGCAAGCCTCTTTTGGCCCTGGCCTCTCCTTGAGGAGGCCAGAAGTTGACACAAGTGGACCGGAAAATCCAGGTGAAGCCACTTTCTTCAGAGGGTTCCAGCTTAAGGTAGTGTCCTCTCCAACTAGCACACACAGATCTGCTTGTTATCACCATGGACAAGTCTCTACAATAAACAGCCACGCATAAGGCATAGTGGGA